GTTTATCCTTCCTCATAGCTAAGTAATACTCCATTATATAAAAATAGCCCTCCTTTTTTATCCATTCCTCAGTTGATGGGCATTTAGGTTGTTTCCAAAATTTAGCTATTACAAATTGTGCGGCTATAAACGTGAGTGTACAGATATCACTGTGGCATGATGTTTTTAATTCTTCTGGGAAACTACCCAGAAGGGGAATAGCAGAGTTGAATGGGACCTCTAATCCTAGTTTTTTGAGGAATCTCAACACTGATTTCCATAGTGATTGTACCAGTCTGCACCCCCACCAACAGTGGAGAAGGGTTCATTTTTCCCCACAGGCCCACCAGTGTTTGTTATTGATTTGTTGATGATAGCCATTCTTTCTGGGGTGAGATGGAATCTCAGTGTTGTTTTAATTTGCATTTCTCAAATGACCAATGATCAACATTTTTTCATGTATTTATTTGCCATTTGTATTTCTTTTATCTAAGAAGTGTGTATTCATCTCAGATGCCCATTTTTGGATTGGGTCTTTGAATGTGGGGGGCCTGATTTTTTTTTAATTCTTTATGTGTTCTTGATAGAAGTCCTTTGTCTGAGGGACACTTGGTTAAAATTTTTTCCCAATTTTCAGGTTTTTTTTTTTACTCTGTTGGTGATTTCTTTTAATGTGCAAAAACTTTTCAATAAGATGAGATCCTAGTTGAAGCCCAGCACTTCTTACATGTATTCCCAGTGCCTAGCAAATGGTGAAACATGGATATAGGTTAGGTTGCTTATATTATGCATATCAGTGTCCTAAGAATATATATATATGAATGATATTCATATACATCTTTTTTAAGGTAATATATAGAGATCCTACACTAGGCACAGTATATAGTCATTCACATCCATTTTTATTGTACTGCAATTCACAGTAGCTAAGCTATGGAAACTGCTAAGGGGCCCATCATCGGATGAACAGATAAAAGAAAATACAATCTGTATACATGGTGGAGTACTATTCAGCCATAAAAAGAACAAAATCATTTCATTTGCAGGAAAATGTGTGGAACTAGAGACAGTCATGTTAAGTGAAATAAGCCAGACTAAGAAAGTCACGTATTGCATGTTTTTTCTCATGGCCTGAAAGTACAAAGGAGGACTGGGGGGAAATCAGTCTTTTAAAAGCAGATATAAGTGGGAGGAAAAGGGAGGGGAGTAATGGGAGGGAAATCAGAATATGAGATATGCAGACACTATGCCAAAAGGAGATGTGCCAGAATATGAGATATGCATATAGTATGCCCACTAATCTGCATAATTAATATGCACTGATTTTTTAAGAAGATTTTTTTAATGTGTAAGATTATGGTATTTAAAATGCATAATTGGGTAATGAAACCATAAGGAAATATGAGGAAGTCATTATTATAAAATCTAGAGTTAGTGGTGTGATAGTCTGTGTTTGGGGTGAGGCCTAAAACTAACCATACTTCCTGGTACTCACACCTGTGTGTAGTCCCCTCCTCTGGAATTTGGGCTGGTTCTGGGAGTGGCTTTAACCAAGAGCATTTGTATGAGCTGTCTGTATCACTGAAAGCTCCAAAAGAGATGCTATCACTGTCACAAAGTAATGCTATGCCTCTCCAGTCCTAAGCTTTAAGAAGTCCTAACAGATTCGAGTAGCTTTGGCATTCTTGCAGACCCTGACACACTGTTTTGTAGATACTATTTAGAAAGGCCAACTGGAAAGAAAGCCTCCTTGGTTAAGCCATCAGCTGATCCACCAACTGAATGTGGCCACAGAAATGACCACCAGCAAAACTAAGTAGAACCACCCAGCTGGACCCAGTTCAGAAAGCAGAACTCTGAGCAAGTAAATGCATTACAAAAGCCAGTATTTTAAAGTAGTTTGTTGGGCAATAACAGTCAAGTGGCTCTGGGCACTGAGCCCAGGGTCGTCCTTCACACTGAGCTACATCCCCAGTCCTTTTTAATTTTTTGAGACAGGGTCTCACTACGTTACCCATATGGGTTTGAATTTGCAATCCTCCTGCGTCATCTTCCAGAGCGCTAGGATTACAAGCATTGGGCAGCATGCCTAGCTGTGGTTTGGGGTTTTGGGGTTTTTTTTTCCTTTTTTGCACTACTGAGGTTGGAACCCAGGAGTAGCCTACTACTGAGCTACACTCGTAGCCCTTCTTAGCTTTTATTTGGAGACAGGGTCTTTCTAAATTGCCTGTCCACATGGAGCTCAAACTTATGGTCCTCCTGCCTCAGCCTCCCTCAGAGCTTAGATTACAGATGTGTGCCATTGTACCTGGCATTCTGTTTCTTGACTTAGATGATGGCTGTATGTTCTCTGGAGAACAGTTGTAAGTCAGATTCATTCACAATCCAACAAAGTGAGTTTTACACAATATACCTGTGAAAGTTTGTAACTCAAATGTTCATAAATCAGGGGCTTGCTATATTTGCCTTATAGTAAACTGCTAAGCTATGCATCTGTTTTGTATGTTTTTCTGAATATTTTCTCTTCAAATAAAAATCATTTTTAAACTGGTGTAGTGGTCCTTTTTTGTAAGCCCAACACTGGAAGGCTGAGGTAGGAGGAACACTAATCCAAGCCCAACTGATGCAACTTTGTGAGACCTTACCTCAAAATAAAAAATTTAAAAAGTTCTAAGGTTGTAGTTTAGTGTGGAGGCCCTAGATTCAATTCCCAGTACCAACAAATAAACTAAAAAATAAAAAATTAGTTTTTAAAAAGAAAAATTTATTTTCATCAGTAGTTTGATTACAGTGTGCTTTAATGTTATTTCCTTTAATATTTTGTCTTTTTAGAGTTGTTGAGATTCTTAGACCTGTGGGGTTATAGTTTTCATCAAATTTAAAAATTTTTCAGCCACTGTTTCTTCAAATGTTTGTTCCAACCCTCACTTTGGAACTCCTCTTATCCAGGAAGGAGGCTACTTGAGTACCATGGCTCACTGATACTCCTTTCAATTTTTAGATTCTTTTTTTCTCTTCTGGGTTTCTTTTGGGTAGCTTCTCTTGTATGCCTTTGAGTTCAGTATATTTTTCTAATGTCTAATGTATCAGTCCTTTTCACTGTATTTCATTTCAGATAATGATTTGGGTCTTTGTTCTGACTTCCAAGTCTGTGCTTAATCTTTAAAACATGGAAAATATATAAACTTTTAATGCCTTTCTCTGCTAATTCTAACATCTGGATCAATTTTAGTTGATTTTCAAATGATTGCTTATCCTTTATACTATGGGATGTCTTTTTCTTCCTCTTTGCATTCCTGGTCATCTTTGAATGGAGTTGGGCATTTCAAACTTTATGGGGGGGGGTGCTAGGTGTTTTAGTATTCCTCTAAATCTTCTTGAATTTTTTAAAGGAGTAGTTTAGTCACTTAGAAACAATTTGACCCTTTCAAGTCTCACTTTCACGATTTGTTTAAGTGGTCTGTTGTAATGCCCATCTGGGCTACTTGACTGTGGTGGACTAACTAATGTTCAACTTGTAACACCCAGCTGAATCAGTGTGGTGCTGGGTGCAGAAGGCCCACCTGAGTTTTGTTGCCAGCAGCATAAAAGGAGAACTGGAGGTTCTCCTGATGCACTGTTGATTCTCCTGGAGAAGCTTGTCATGTTTGATTTCTTGATATGAACTCAGCTGTTCTCATCATAGGATGAGCTCAGGTCCTCGCTGTCACTGAGGATGCCTGCTGTTTTCTTTGGGGGTGCTCTGGTCTTTACCTTGAGCATCGCTTCCTGGCTCCAGTGCAGATCCCTCAGCCTACTGGCACAGATCCTTCATACCACTGGCACAGACTTTCTAGCTTCCACCACTGACCTTTGGGCTTTCCCAGTGCAGATTCTTGATACAGACTTGCATGAGACATGGTTGTGGACTCATGTTCTCCATTTGGGCTCATGGAGGACATTGCCATGGGCTCTAGGTCTTCAGCTGGACTTGTGCAGGACACTGCTGTGGGATCCAGGCCTTCAGCTGGATTCTTTGAGTCTATAGTGTATGGACAGATCTGCACTTTTCTGCATTTGACCTTCTGGGTAAATATTATAAAATAATCCTATAAATTATGTGTCTTGTATTAAATCTGTGCCCTTGTAAACCCTGATTACAACACTTATTCTCTAGGTAAAACATTGCTGAATACTCAGAGCAATGTGAATTACTTGTTTTCACAGTGTGTAAGTGGGAGCAGGCACTGGTGGCCAGTATGAGTGCCCCCATCCCTCTAATCCATTCAAGTATTTCTTTCCCAGGCCTTGGGATCCCGTGTTTCTTCACCACACAGGCTGCTGTCAGTACTCTGCAGAGAACTTTAACAAGGACCCTGTGCATGCCCCGAGGGCTCTCTGTGCTGCTTTGTCCTCTGGTATTCTGTTCTGAGTTTGCTAGCTGTCCTGGTCTCCCTAGATTCTCAGCCCCATCTTCGCCACTAAGGCAGGCCTTGATGTTCTGCCTCATTTCTCTGCCACTTCACCATAGGCAAAGAGTTTTCTTAAGGCAGTCATTAAAGTTCATCTCGTTTGTATACTGAATCTCAGGATCATTCTTTTATGTTCCTTGATGTGTCTCTTCTCCCCAAGCTTATTTGAGGTGGAAATCTCAACCAGCCCCTTTTGCTCCATCTTGGCTGGAAGAAATCTCCCATAGGGTTTTGAGAAGTGAATAAAGCCTTTTTTTTTTTTTTTCAGTACTGAGGATTGAACCCAGGGCCTTCATTGACCTGTATCCCCAGTCCTATTTTTTTATTTTGAGAACAGTGTCTCTTGAATCACAGAGTTGACCAGGCTAGGCTTGAACTGACCATTCTCCTGCCTTAGTCTCCCAGTGTGCTGGGATTACAGGCATTTACCAACATGCTCACATGCCTATAAAAAAAAGTGTTGATTAAACTCTTTCATGAATGTCCTTTCCTACATTATTTTTTTTGGAATTTTAAATTCTCTTCATGATAAATTTCTTGTTCTAAGTAAATTTTCTGTCACCTTTACAGCTTTCCTCTGAATATTGATTTACTACATAACCCAGACTTACTGGAAACAAGCGTTAGTGATATAATTGAGGCAGCAGACACCACAGAAACATCCTCACCCCTGGATGACATTAACGCAGCCACCAGGCCGCCTGGCTTAGAGGAAGCTGAAGTTGAGTATGGGAGTAAGTACATATTCCATACTACATCAGTGACATTTAACTTTGTTTTCCTTTGAAATGAAATACCTCAATCAGTTCCTCCAAGAATATTCCATGCAGTAGTTGAATTTTTAAATTTAGTTCAGAATATTTATGCTTTCTTGCCTTATTTTGGCATGAAAACATTGAAATATTTAAGGTAATGTAATTAAGGCCATGATGCCATGAAGTTTAAGTATCGTTTATAAATCATTAAGCCTTTATGAGTTTTTATTCTTGGTTGTTACTTCACTTCTCGAGTAAAAATTAAGGAAAGTTTATTTAAGAGAGGAATGAATAAATATTTAGACCTTACATTAGCTCTTGGAAAGCATTTTGTTATTCATAAATATTAATACAGTTACCTAGTCCAATAAAAAGAAATAATATACAATGCTTCTTTCCTTAATTTTTTCAGAGGCTAAAAGGAGAAAGTAAATTGTTCATTAAAAATATCTATATATTTAAGAATTTGGTTTGAGCAGAAAATGTGGACTGTTCTTAAACAGAAATTTTCTTTTGAAGTTTAGTGTAATGAGTATTCTCTGAAAGCAGCTTGCATTGACACCCATAGTGTGTCGGCCAGGGCTGAACTGAATCCTGGATTCCTTCAGGAAGCCTGGTGAGTCAGGGTAGCGTCACCCTGACCAGTGTGCAAGGCAGGTGGAACCCGGGCACCCTCAGGGGGCTTGGTGGCTACTCACCATGCCCGTATTGTGTCTGCTGGGGCTGGGCTGAACACCAGACACCTTTAGCAACCTAGGTGACCCAGTCTGGTGCCTCCACCACTAGTGTGTGAAGCACGGGGAGCTCTGGACAACTTCTGGGGTCTTGGTGGTTGCTGCCAGAACAACTCACACCCACCCTGGGAGCTCAGCTGAAACCTGGACAGAGTCAGCAGCCTCGGGGAGTCCACCCTCACCCCTCCCCTTCCAGTGTGGGAAGCAGGCTCTGTTCTGGGCAATACCTGAAACCTCGGTGAACACGACCTGCATCCTCTCTACTCTTGTGGAAGCTGGGCCGAACCGCAGACAGTCTCAGGAATAATGACAAGCCTCCCCCTCCCTTCCCACAAAAGCCTGGGAGCCAACTGAATGCAAGAAAGTTTGGAAGCATCAGGGACCCTACCTTGCCACCACTCACCAGCACAGGAGCTGCACTGAGCACTGTGGATCTTCAGATTCTTGCTCTGCCACTCACATACAATCAGGAGAGTGAGGCTGCACTCTAGGGAGCCTCTGGATCTTCAGAAATGACAAAACAAAGGAGCAAAATGCAATCCCAGACCTCCACACCACCCAAAACAAGTCCAAGAGACATCAACACAGAAGAGCCTGGAAATCATATACCTAAAATTTCTAAAATGATAGCAACTGAAGTAAAGAAACAACTCCATGAGGCCATAGAAGACATCAGACCAGAAATAATGTCTCAGGTGAAAAAAGAAATGGCAACAATAATGAAAGAAATGTTCAGCATATCCAAAGATGACATGGACAAAAAAATAGAAGAGCATAGACAACTCATGGAAACCTTTAGTGAACAATATAGAAAAGAACTAGAAGGTATGAAACAGTTGCAAACAGATATACAGGAACTTAAAAATTTCATTGAAAGCTAGCAAAACTGTCTGAATGAAGCTGAAGATAGACTTTCAGATGTTGAAGGCAGCATTGCCACTAATGAACGTGAAAGGAGGGATCTCTTACAAACAAGGAACCAGGAAATAAAAATTCAACAACTGCAAGACCAAGCAAAGAAAAACAATGTCAGATTAATAGGTATTAATGAAACAGCAGGTGTCAACACAAATGACACAAAAACACTATTTGCAGAAAAAATAGCAGAAAATTTCCCAGGCATGAAAAAATAATTGGACATACACATAAGTGAAGCATATAGAACTCCAGTTAATCATAACCAAAATAACTCTACACCCAGACATACAGTGATCAAGATCCCAGAAACTTAAAAAAGCTCAGAATATTAAAAGCTGTTAGAGAAAAGAAACAGATCACCTAAAAAGGAAAGCCTATCAGAATCACAGCAGACTTCTCAACACAAACCATCAAGGCAAGAAGAGCTTGGAGTGAAGTATTTCAGGTCCTGAAAGAAAACAACTTCTAACCCAGATTGATGTACCCTGCAAAACTATCTTTCAAATTTAATGAAAAAGTAAAATATTTTCATGATAAAGAACAACTGAAGAAATTCATGAGTGCCAAGCCAATTCTACAAAGAGTACTAAAAGATATTCTAGAAACAAAGAAAAACAGACCACAACTTCAAGAACAACAACAGAAAGGTACCACCAAGCAGAGCAAGCAGTTAAACAGAGGGAAAAAAGGAGGATCCAACAGCAGGAATATATCATGACAAAGATAAGCCAGTACATATCAGTTATAACCATCAATATAAATGATCTCAGTGCACCAACCAAAAGAAGCAGACTAGCAGAGTGGATCAGGAAACAAAATCCAGCTATATGCTGTATACAAGAAACACATTTAACTCAAAAGGAAATTCATAGACTGAAAACTAAAGAATGGAAAACAATACTCCATGCAACAGGAACCCAGAAAAAAGTGGGTGTAGCTGTTCTGTTTGCAGACAATGTGAACTTCAAACCAAGAACAATCAAAAGAGATAAAGAAGGTAACTACATACTTATGAGGGGGAAGCTTCAAGAGGACGAGAACAATCGTAAAAATCTATGCACCAAATATAGGACTACCTGTGGGAAACACAGGATCCTCAGGCCCCTAGGCCCTCCCTTTGTGTGGGCCGGAGCCGCAGGTTACTTGGGGTTGAGATGAGGACTGGAATGCCTGTGCCTCTTGAGGAGAAAATGTTCTCCCCTCGCAAAACCTTGAGAACTTGCTTGGCTAGGCTTTCACAATATGGGAAAGTGGCCAGAGGCCTTGTAGATTAAAATAGAATGTCTCGGCCTTGTAGAAAATAAAATGTCCTGAGCAGTCTTGTGGTGGTGTGACAACTTTCTGCTTCTCGTGCTTTAGAAAAATAAGATAACAACAGACCTTGGGTTATAGAGCACACCTGGAACAGACTGTCAGAAAAACAATTACTTGGCTCGGTATGTACTCATATGTTATCTGAAAAACTACACTTGTATGCTATAAAACTTCTTACAGAATAAACTTCAGTATGCAGTTGCAGTTGCAAACTTGGCTCTTGCTGCTCTGCATCCCC